CTGAAGATGCCGGTCACAGGTGCTGGCGAAATGTTAGGAAACAAAACTTCAAGACCACGGCTACACAGCCCGGAAGACCCACACCAGCCATCATATGCTGGCCGTGAAAGCCTTCGACAATACGTATTCTTGTTTCTTTAATTGTGAAAAGTTAGAAATATCGAAGGAGCACATTTTGGGAGCGGGTTGCTGCACTGGATCCATAGTACTCAGTCTTCAGGCCAGCATGGAAACTGCATTGGTCGCACTTGTGGATGACACCAGGATTGGGGAGTGCAACCCTCCTGGTCTTTGATCTCCCAGCAGTTTTCAGTACTATCGGCCATGGCATCCTTCTGTACTGCCACTGTAGGATTGGAGTGGGGGACACTGTTCTTCAGCAGTTCTCCTCTCTAGGGGAGTGGTTACAGTCAATGTTAGTGGAGGAGGAGAGGTCTGCCCAGGCCCCAAGGCTCTTTCCCCACTTCTTTTTACATCTGCATGAAACCACTGGGGAAGGTATTCTTTCCACACAGGTCCCAGTATCCTCAGTATGCTGATGATATCCAGTTATAGATCTTGTCTATGGGTGATGCAGTGGAATTGCTGGACAGTGTCTGGATGGGGAGGAAAGAATGAATGTCCCCAAGAGGGATTGGCTCTGAATCTACAATTCCAGGGTAGTTCCATCTTTGACTCTGTACAGGGTTGTGTTCCCTCACTCAGCAGTGGGGGACAATATTGGGGCCACCAGCTCCTGCTTGATGAGCAGGTGACAGCTGTGACCGTCAGGGCTTTTGCACATTTCTATCTTGTGTGCCACTTGCAATGTTTCCTGGCTCAGGAGGCCTTGCTCAAAGTCACTCGTGCCTCAATCTCTTCCCTCCTGGACTACTGCAATGTATCCTATCTGGGGCTGCTCTTGAAAAGCATTTAGAAGCTGCAACTGGTACAAAATGCAGTAGCGAGCAATGATATGTGTGTATCACTATATTTGGGTGGTCCCACTTTTTCAGGAGCCGAATGGGTTGCCAGCGGGCTTCCGTGTGAGATTCGAGGTGCTGGTTATTCTTACGTGACTCCAGAGCAAGTTATTTGTGGGGCTGCCTTCTCCCGCATTCATCTCCCTACTCAATCAATTCCGCCCAGTTCCTATCCATGCCACCTGACAGGACCTTAGAAGTGGGCATTTTTAATGGTCACCTCCATGCTTTGGGACAGAGCATTCACCACAGAAATCCAGTGGGTTCCTTTCCTCTCAGTTTTCTGGGCAATGGGTTGCACCAGCTAATGCAGAACGTGATTTTATTCATTTTTGACAGGTTTGTTGTTGTTACTCCTGTTTATATTATATGTGGCTTTATATATTATTTTTGAGGGAATGGTTTTAATTTATGTAATGATGTAAAAATTATGTAATTTTTTTCACTCTTAGCTGCTCAGATAATGGGTGGCATAATGAATGAATGAGTGAGTGAGTGAGTGAGTGAGTGAGTGAGTGAGTGAATGAATGAATGAATGAATGAATGAAGAGAAGGAAATTATTTCATTCAGAAAATTTGAAGGAAAAAGTTATTGAAAATGTTAGTCCAGAGAAGGGAGCCCAGATAGTTAAAATTCCAGGAAGGAAAGAATAACATTTCTATTTCTATCACATTTTTTTTCCTTTTAAATGGCTCTGCCAACTGTTAGGGGTTTTTATGGCTTTTATTCAGGTTGTACATTTTAGATTCATGAGCAGAAAAAAACATTAAAAGTGCATGGTCTGTTCCTGTTTTTGAACTCTCCAGAACTTTTCATCAAGTAAATAGTATTAAAGCAGAGGAGGACTGGAACACACACACACACACACACTACACACACACACACACACACACACACACACAGATTTCCAGTTTGAAAAGTATACTAGGTGGCTTAAAATTTAAAACATGTGCAACATGAAGAAAATCCTAACTGCAATATGCAGGAAAAAAGAGAGACACCCCCCCCCCCCCCCGCGCAACTAAGCCCGGCAAAGAAAATTAGTTTTTGCAGATTTTCTAAATGGACAGAGCAGGGGCCAAATTATATTACCAAGAGGGCGAAGCCATTCCTAGCATGGCGGCCACCCAGGAGAAGAATTTGGATTCTTCTAGAATGATGGACTTCTGGCAAATCTCTCCTGAAGTCCTAAAGTTCATAATGGGGGAGGTGGTCTTTCTGAAGATCAAGCTTTATTCCATTTCAGGAATTAACACCAATTCCTTAAATTGTGCCCAGAAAGCAATTAGAAATCAGTGCAGATCTTTCATTATATGAGCCCTATACTTTGAAATAGTTTGTGGCCTAGTCCTAACCCTAACCAATTGCAGCTTCCGGCCACTTTTTAAGGGGTGCCCCATGTCCACAGTCGTGCAAAAGATAGAAAGTAACCCAAAGAGGTGCATAGACCAGTTGTGTATGTTCCTCCTCATGGCTGCCAGAAGCAACTGAGGATTAAAGTTCCTCTGCTGCAGACACACTGACAGTGTTTGAAGAATGGTGAAGTGACACATTTGAGTCTGTAGAGTAAAAGGTACAAGTATTCAAACGCTCTGTCCTGGAAGCTCTCTGGGTCTATATACTCTAGCCCTATCCCTACCTTGGTGTAGAAGCTTGGTAGTTCCTGCTGCCATCACGTATCTTCCAGGGCAGCACCTTCCTTGTGTCCTCTCTCTCAACCTGGTGTGTGAAAAAGACCCCACAATCTGTATTGCCTAGCTGGCAAATTATAAGGGGGACAAAATTGGGGGAAAAATTAAATACATTATATAATACCATACCTGGCCCTATCCTTGAGAGAGAGCTCAATCTTACAAGAGATTAATGAAAGGAAACTTTTTTAACAGGAAATAAATAGAAAAATGTAAATGTCTAATTTTAAATATTAAAATGCAAATACTCGAGGTTAAGAAAAAAGGCAATTTGCAGAGCTGTCCAGCTCATGGGAAAGCAACAACTGGTCATTTGGTCAAAAGAGACAAAAATGTAAAACTAAGTAACGCTCCACTCAGATCACAAGATGGTGCTGGTCAAATTGCTCATTTTACTGTTAGAATCTTTACACAGCTTCAACTTATCAAGAAAAAAATATGACTTAAAATCTATAGAGCTAGGTCCATGAACACAACCAAAGTATATGATGTGGGAACTACATGCTAGCCTCTTCTGCA